ATCAGGTCTGGGTCGTGACTCTCCATACAGTACAGGGCAGGGCTAGAGGTAAACAAAAATGGAGACGCTATAGGGCAGAAACTAAATAAAAACATTTGAAAACAAGGACTTGAAGGACTTTACAAGGCTAACGCGCTGCAGAAATGTAACACCTCACTGTTGCATCATGCTGAATGGTCCATTCTTACAATGAGTTGTACATATATGCATCACGAATGTATAATAGTAAGGTATCACTTAATAACTATATAATTACAATATATTACACAATAATTACACACTCATAATGTATGACATAATAACTATATAGTTATGTCACTTAACAATCATACTATAATCATGCATTTCCTGATAATTATAACGTTTAACAAATAGGCAGCTGGCGTGCCGCTCCCTGCGATCGCAGCTAGAGCCTGTAGCCATCAACGCGGCGACACGGGGACGCTGCGAAGCGGGATGGCAGAAGGAAGCGGAGGTCATCGCAGTGAGATTCCCTTGCGGAAGCCACCCGCTACCCATAGAGCTGTGCTCATACCCGCCCGCTACTCAATCGTAACCAGTTGTACCCGTCCGTTATCCGCCTGTATATATTTTCTCAGCGTTTAAGTTTTAGACTGCCGACGCATTCACGAGCGTTGACAGCCCTTAGTGCAGACTAAACTGAGCTTTGAACACCTATGCTCGAGGCGCAGCGAGCGATCCCGGCTTCCAGGCTGAGCAGGCGGTTTGAGAGTGATTTAGGGTGTATTGGCATGAATTAGGTTGGGCACGCTCGGAGAAGTCCGGGTAAGACGCCAGCTGAGGTTTCGAGTTCGTTCGAATGACCACCCAGGCTAAGCCAGCGTAATGCGGCGTGACGAGCATGAAAAAGCCGACGCAGTAAGGTTCTCAACGTTGCGCACTATCTCACACTGCACGAACGCGGCGCGATTAATCTTGGGAGCGTCCTTTTCCATTACAATTTTTATTCACCGGCAAAGGTAGGCTTAGCCCGTATTTTGAGCTCAGAAGATTAATTTCTGCTAATCCACGCGAACAAATCGATAAGCCGGTTGGGGCAAAGGCTTAGCAGAGGATATTCTAGTGATTCGCCGGCATTGGCAGAGGAACCAGTTGCCAGATATTATGGAAACAGGCAGAGTAAAAATAAAAAACATGATAAGAAAGTAGCAGTTTCTTGAATGTAGGTAAAATAAGTGAATGAAGTGGATACGTGGATAAGCAATGAGTGGATTGGCTGCCATGGGAACGGCGGGTTTGCCATCACAGACAGACATGTTCCTAACTGGTGTCCGCGGGCGTGCCATCACAGACAGACATGTCCCCAACTGGTGTCCGCGGGCGTGCCATCACAGACAGACATGTCCCTAACTGGTGTCCGCGGGCGTGCCATCACAGACAGACATGTCCCTAGCTGGTCCTCGCGGTGTGACACCACAGACAGACATGTCCCTAGCTGGTCCTCGCGGTGTGACACCACAGACAGACATGTCCCTAGCTGGTCCTCGCGGTGTGACACCACAGACAGACATGTCCCTAGCTGGTCCTCGCGGCGTGACACCACAGACAGACATGTCCCTAGCTGGTCCTCGCGGTGTGACACCACAGACAGACATGTCCCTAGCTGGTCCTCGCGGCGTGACATCACAGAGAGACATGTCCCTAGCTGGTATCTACGGACGTGCCATCACCGACAGACAGGTTCCCAGGTGATGTCTGGTTTTCGCAAACTGTGCTTAGCAACAGAGATTCCATCTCCAAAAGTAAACTGTCCGAATCCAGTCCTGGCACCGGTCAGAAACCAGCCCTGGTAGGAGTCAGGAGCGCAGCCCGGACACGGAAGTCAGCAGCGCAGCCCGTACACGGACATCAGGAGCGCAGACACGACACAGAAGTTAGGAACGCAGCCGTGACACGAGCCAGGAGCGCAGCCCGGACACGGAAGTCAGCAGCGCAGCCCGGACACGGACATCAGGAGCGCAGCCCGGACACGGAAGACAGGAGCGCAGCCCGGACACGGACATCAGGAGCACAGCCGTGACACAAGTCAGGAGCGCAGCCGTGACACGAGTCAGGAGCGCAGCCCGGACACGGAAGACAGGAGCGCAGCCCGGACACGGACATCAGGAGCATAGCCGTGACACGAGTCAGGAGCGCAGCCGTGACACGAGTCAGGAGCGCAGCCCGGACACGGAAGACAGGAGCGCAGCCCGTACACTGACACCAGGAGCACAGCCGTGACACGAGTCAGGAGCGCAGCCGTGCCACGAGTCAGGAGCGCAGCCCGGACACGGACATCAGGAGCGCAGACACGACACAGAAGTCAGGAGCGCAGCCGTGACACGAGTCAGGAGCGCAGCCCGGACGAGCAAATCATGAACGCAGCCCGGACACGAGTCCCACCTTTGCCATCGTCAACAGCTCCAACCCGACGGCTGGGAGGCCTTTAATGTGGCGCAGCTTTCACACATCTATAATCTAACAGATATAGAATAGACAAGGCCCCTCAAAAGTCGTCAGCGGCAACGCGTCCCTGCACGCGTGGGTCTACCCAATGTCTGAGACAGCCTTAAAAAGGAGACTTTGTGTATTGGGAAAAATTATTCTGCTGTTTGCTGTAAACACGAAGCTCCCGAGCAGCGATCAAAGTCGGATTGCTTCGAATTGAAAGTTTGGTCGCAAACGGTTGGCTCAGTGCAAACACAGCAGTAAGTGACCATAAAAGATCAAGTGCCGTGGCAGAACAGAAGCCCAGTTCCCATCCGAGTGGAGCAGATCCCCCTCACGTCTGCCCATGTCGGCGAGTGTGACGCAGGTTCCCGGGTGGATCCGGTCACAGAGATCACAAATTTCCCTAAAATCGTTCCAAAGTTCCCGATTCTCCGAAATTGTCGAGGCCTCGTGGGACCAGTAATAGACCAAGACCAATGTACACCACCTGCTCGATATCTAGACCACGTTCGGAAAATCATAAACAATCCTGTTGTGTACAAAAAAACCAGGCCCACTTGTGAGTCATGTAGGGATCAAAGCAGCCGACCTCGTCTGCTGCTGCAGCAGGAATGCAGTCACCTTTGCTCAGGCACGCGTGGTTACCGTACCATCGCCACGTTACCGTATTTCCCGCCGCCGGAAAGACATCGAATACAGTGGGCCTGCGGACGCCTGATTGATAAATGCGCGGTGCGCCACCCGACCTGAAATGGAGAATCCGCTGTCGCACGTGTGGCGAACGCCACACCTCCTTTAGCTGAGGTTGGCACGTGCAGGCATCTCCTTAATCCTATCTCGCTGCGCAATCCCTCGTCAGGGATCCATCGCTGTGTTCGGCACTGGGCCGCCAGCATCAAAGAATAAGTCCTCTCTGAAAGCCAAATTCAACAAACAGCTTGTGTTCGCGCCATTTTTTGCGGGTGATGCCGGTTAGCGCCATGAAAAGACACGGCAGCGTGAAAGGACTAATGGCGGGCAGCCTTGTGCACATGGACAGAGAGGCGTCAGACGTTGAAAACGTGACCTCGAATGACTAAATGGAAAGCTGCATCCATGGACGAGCCGCGCATACTTAGCTTGCATCACAAACTCAGTAAGGGCGCGAATGCATTGCACAATACATGCCGGTTGCGTGTCCAACACACGCCGACAAGGCACGGGGAGGCAGCAGCATCGCACCACCCACGCGGACCAGACAAACGCACTTAATCTCTCCACAGCTGATTCATGCTAGCAACAACACGAGCATGGAACAGGCTCACCGAATGGACAATGCTCTTTAATGGAGGATTGCATGGGCTACGCAAACCCATAAGCCCATGGGTTGCCATGTAGAAGAGGTAAATGGTCGGGTTGAGAACCGACTTGGGAAAATCGCAGTATGGTTTCGGGTATGATCATGGGTAAAACATCCACAAAATGCTGGGTAGATGCTTCCAGAAATGCCACACAACGCTACTGCTTGCGCTTCTTTTGGTCATAATAGCTTTTTAACACTATTTTTGCAATATTTTGAAAAAGTAAAGTTGGGTTAAGCGTTTTCAAAGTTTCAAAATGACTTATAACTTGAGTGCTGAGAAAATCAAGATATGTCGGCAATTGGTGGGCACAATTGATTAGAAATGGGTTTTGGGTAGGTATAGGCACACCCCCGTAGCTAGCGGGTGGACGGGGTAAAAATCTTACCAGTGAGGGACTCTAACCCCTCCCAACGATGATCAGATTAAAAAGCCACTTCCGCATGAGGCGTGCAACATCGTTCATGTTTATATAATATCACGCATTGTTGACGCGGCAATCTAAAATTTCAACAGACATCTGTGTAGCTCATAGTTGTGGTCACACTCAGGACCATGCGGCACATCTTGGTCCCCACTGAATAAGCCCGAACATTTCATATCACATACCTTCTTTTCCGAGTCTCCCCGATCTCAGCATCTCGACGCGGCGGATTATCGTTCCTAGACGCTTTCCCCGCCAACTCAACTTAACATGCATTTCACGGCGCCCAATGAAGGGTGAATGCCGATACCGATACCGATACCGATAGCAGCGTGCTGCCGCTTCCTACACTTGATCTCCATCGCCGACAGTTTGGGGGTAACGATCGCTGCAGCAGCGATTTGGGTTGCACGAAAAACTGAATACAAATCGCCGAGACACGGTGATTGCAATGGGCAACTGGCCAGTGAATGACATCCGCTGCCTTGTAGGAGACAGAGAGATGACGTCTTGGGCCAATCTATGTGCACCGGCTGAGCGCGTTGGGTTTATTGCAAACATTGCTTGTATACAATGTGATACCGCCCACACCCTGTGCGACAGAATGTGCTTGAGGGTGTTGCCTATAAATGACCGTTCATGGTGATGACGATGGTGAGACAGATCCCGCTCCAAAAACACACCAAGAAGATCCCGCAGATCTCAACGGGGGCAATGTGGCCTTCGAGGTAATGTTTCGCTGTTCTGCCCACTTGGGTACCTCCGTCGGTAAAGCCCACCCACTCTTCGCAGCAGCATTTGTATTACTGAAAGGGCACGGACACAACGGTCACACACGGCCAGGCCGTATCGGATTCAGCGCTTCCACTCCGCACACGCGATACGAGACACGACCTTCACAGAGTACGACGGGCACAGGGGCAGGGCCCCTACCGCAGACCGCAGGCACGAGCGACGGGGCCCCGGCGTCCGCAAATGGTCCGCCCACGGAGGCAACCACCCGCACCGCGTCTCGCAGCATGCGCACCCACGTGTGAAGGTACGGCAGCCCAACGCGCTGAGGCCCGGAGTCAACGCCGACGGGGAGGCTCCACGGCCCAACGCAAGCAGTCGCTGCATTCCACGCGGGGAATCGGTTCGATTCCACGCAAGTTTCCGCAGGTGCGATCTCAGCAGGGATGTCGGAAGTCTAGGTGAGGGAGTCCTCAGCCGTCCCTGCAGGGCTGCCGCGGCCTGCGGGCTCGGACTGACCCACCGCCTTCATGTTAGATTAGTCCGCGACTCGAACCAGGTCACTATCACAGCAGAACACTCCACCGTGACGTCACAACGAGCGGCGACGCCTGATCGGCGCGACGGTGAGCAGGCGACGCATCCGCTGGTGGTCGCGCTCCGGCGAGGGCTGTTATTGGCGGATGCAAACCAGCTAAGAGCTGTGATTGGCGAACGCGGACCAGCGCAGGCTGTGATTGACGGATGCAGGCCAGCGGAAACGGCGATTGGCGGAGGCAGACCGCGCCGCGGCTGTGATTGGCAGGTATCAGTCGGTGCCGTCCTGACTGGCATCCATGGCCTGCACACCCTCTCGAGCCGGCATCTGAGGACAAAGCGTCAAAATACCTGAACACACACATACGTACGCACGCAAGCATGCACGCACGCACAGCTCCCTGTTGGAAGGTTGACTATATGAATCACCACTAATAAATAGTTATATGGTGGTTATTCAGCTCTGTCGTTAGTAAAATACCAACATTCTGCCAAGAGACATTTCAGTTATATTTCAACCTAAATCAGTCTGGACAAACAATTCTTAGCATTTCCTATGGTAAAAATAATAATCGGCCCGTGCGCATTGACTCTGCAAAAGCCCCGCCTATAACACTTCCTTAACACATTTTTTTATGATATGTTTTTTGTTGACATACCACATTTTCCTCCGCGCTCTTTGCACCAACAAATTTTACATCGTTAATCGAGTGGCCCAGTGAGATAAAGTGGATGCATACGGCATAGTCCACCGATGTACTTTCTGTTCAGATGGTTGATGAATGTTTGCCGAACGAGTATATAAAGTTCCCCTGTATCCCCGATATAACATACACATCTGACATCTTACAATGAACACCATACATAACGCTGTTTGTTTTACATCCAGTAATATGTGGTGTTCATTGTAATGCGTGCGAATGTGTATGGTATTAAAGAGAGCAAGGAGTGGCATTGAGGTTGGAAGGCCATGGAGACAGTGTGGATTAGAAATGTGTTAAGATTGTAAAGGAGGCATAACGCTAGGCACACCACACCTTAGAAGGGGACTGAGGGTGGGACAATACAATATAGTGCACAAAATGCGGTAAAAATATGTTAGGCGGGGGCTGTCTCGCAACTATTGCACATGTGTCATCATCATTTTTACTATAGAAAGTGGAAATGGCCGTTTTTCCAAACTGATCCAGGCTCAAATAGAACCGAAAACCATTACTGCTAAATCAGCATTGTTTGACGACATTAATGACGTCCACAGACGCACGTGCCACGCAACTTTGGCACAAAAGTACGACCGTTGCGAGGGGTGCTCAGCAACGCTAAACTCGACGCAGCCATCCGCACCGCAGCCCGCCCGGCCGCTTCGCTTTAACGTTGGCCTATCTGACTGCATGCTGCTTTGTCACCGACCATGACGCCTTCTCATGCCCTGCGGTCCCTGCGGTCCGCCGAGTGCGGCTCTGCCTGCCCGCATCAAAAGGCGAAGAAAATCGGCCGAATTGAAATAGTCGGCTTTTTTAAGACTTAGACACCGCTGTGGGCACATGAACATGTGTGTTGGAGTGTTGTGTGTAATCTGGGTTGTGTTTATTTTCAGTCTTCTCAATAAAAGTGTCACTGTAATGGGATGTGCGTGACTGGCAACGCCACACACGTCACACAACACGGCAATGTTGTCGCACAACACGCAGTTCTTCTTCTCACTTGCAAGGCAGCCATTGCGCAGGCTCAAAAAATCGAAATCCTTCTTCAAAACGCTACAAAGAAGTGCCAAGAAAGGTCTTCTACTGAATGCCGGCCTCCCCATGGTCCCGCAACCGCCGGACCGACGGACCAGCACCCCTCCCCCTTGCGGGGGCCCCCCGTTAGCTCAGTACGTCCGCAATGGGAAAATCCACCGCGCAATATGCTACGCGCTGCATGGGTTCAGTCACGGCGCCATTGACTTGAGGATACCTGGCCAAGCCGGACATTCCAAACAGGCTTCCGGTGTTCCCTGCTCTGCTGGCCACGCATTAACCCCCCCCCCCCTCGTATTACGACGGTGGCGTAGTGCCCCGTCGAAACGGCACGGATCTGAGGGTGATTAACGCCCCGAGCTTAGCAGACACGCTCTCTCAACTAGAACCATCCTGGAATGTCGTCAGACGGGACGGGAGGCCGCTGGTGCCCATGCAGTTTGCCGGTGGACTCAGCTGTACTCTGTACCAAGTCGGCCCCACTCGACTTGCAATATAAGCACGTTCCGTTAAAGGGCGTGTTCCACATTTGTGTGGGGGTGCTGAACGGAGATACCTTGTATGGAGATCACTCGGTGAAGTTAACACCCCTGCCCTCCTTACAGCCTAAAACCTTCTAGTTTCTGAGCTAGACGCCCACGAAGTCCCGGACATACATGGGGTCATACACGTCACCCCCATACTGCCAACCCATTGGAATGTCGAGATATTCGTGTCTGGCGTAGATAAACATGATTTCTGGAACCACCGGACCTCGTTTGACTCTCAACCAATGTTATCCAACAAGCGCAAGCCTCACACATGAATCACGCACAATCACACACAATGTTTCTACTAGAAAAACGGCAGTTGGACAGTGCTACTAGGTATTACGGAAATAATACTTGTGATAAAATAACTTCAGAATATCGCAATAACCGAGCATGTAAATGCCAGTAAACAGCACAAAAAACACGGATTAATATGCACAACATCAAGAGTAAGAGCCAAAACCCGCAAACACAACGATGTTTGGGTCCCGGAAACGCCGCACCCATTATCATCGCCCGACATCTCTCGAGAAGTTAAAGCACTACAAGTAGGTTAGCCCGTCCGCTAGGGTGGCAACTTCCGCACAGCCAGTTTGGCATCCCCGCTGACGTCATACAAACGTTTCATGGCCCAATCAAACGATGAGGATGGAGAGGCATGTTTACTAAATTGTGCAATTTTGTTATTTAGAGCAGTCTTCTGTGTAATTTCGTTGTTTAGAACAGTCCTTTGCACTTAATAATATGCCAATAGTCACAAGTAACCTTATTCCATCACATCTGACGCTTGCCTGAATATCTTCAGGAAAATAACGCTCATTTTAAACCAACTTGGATGAGTGACCGAGGCCAGGAACACGACAGCGCCACCTATACCAGCTGCGTAACTGCCCTGCTAACCAGAAGCTGCAACTCACCACAACCAGGGGCACGGGACCGAGAGGTACTCAAGTTGCGGGGCGGGCGGCGGAATCACCAGTTTTCGCCGATACCGGAAGTGCCATCGCACATAAGAGAACTTAAATGGTCCATGGTCAGTGTGGTGACACATGCAACACATCATAGCTTGTAATGAATACAACCTGTTAGTGACAGTGCGTAACCCAGACACATTGAACGAATTTTGCTTTGTACATGCGAGGAAATCGTGCTTGTTGAGGTGAAGCTAGACTAGATAAAGCTCCATATTCCTATCCCTGACTGCCTCGTGCTGAGCCTGTACGCTTTCTTTAAATCGTACTAACCTCGGACGAACTGCACGCATTGTCATTACCACGCACATCTCATACGTGCGCGTCTCCGACGGTTTCCTCAGTTATGACACACACACAGCTGCTGAGACTCGATAGAGTCGCCTGCCCTTCACTCTGGCCGGAAGGGCGGGCAACACGGGAAATCGAGCCCCGTAGCTCTGGTTTCCCAGACGCGCAGCTTAACCCCTCCACTACCGGTACCCCTACACCCCTATAAGTCCGAGAGCACGTTGAGAGGATCGATCATAGCGACACATTTACCGAGATGAAGATTTACACTTTGCATTTACTGAGCTGCGAGAGTCGTCCTCGTCCGTGATAGACCAACCTTAGCCCAAAATACTGACTGATCTCGTGACATGATTTACGGACAACAGCGAGCTCAAACACCATGTTGAGCGGTAAGAAAGAAGATGCTTGGTGGTCAAGCAGGAACAAAACAGGACTAGAAGCGCAAAGTGTCAGGCTGCACGTCTGGGAAGCCTGAGGTACGGGGTTCGATTCCCCGCCGTACCCTCCCTTCCTGCCACCATGAGACGCAAGCGGCAGCGCCACCAGCCTTAACTGCTGAGTGCATCGTAAAGCAGCAGTGCTAATGGCATGTAAAGTGAACATGATGCTGAAACTCCTTATCTCTAATTTTGAAAACAGCAGGAGGCGTATAATTGGTCAAACGTTGGGAGGCTTGCCTGGCTCATATGTCTAGAAAACAGAATGAACTCAAACAAACTTCCAAGTGCATGCAACGTCATGGAAGCTGAAAAGGCGTGACTAATTACAGGGAAGACGCATAACGGAAAACATATAAAATGCCGTGTCGTGCCGTTTGCCGTTGATATACAGCACATTACGAGCATACAACAGAGCATCGGAAATGCATGTCGCACAAGGCACGGCACGACATCATCTGCCAAACACATGGCAGAACCTGCACACGACAAACATCTGATAAACACATGTCAGTCACAAGGCAAAACAAACGTCTGCCAAAGACATGGCAAGAACGGCACGCAACAAACATCTGACAAACGCATGGCAAACACTACACACAAACACATCTAACGAACACAAGACAGCCACCACATGCCACCACCATCCGACAAACAAACGACAAACACTACACACACAACCACCTGACAAACGCATGACCGACACGCGACTGACACCACCGACAAGCACGTGACACCGCTGACATGCGCGTGACACCGGCGGCGGCCGACTGACCCGGACGGAGATCTGCGCCGTCTGGATAGCCGACCGGAGGATGAGCCCCTTGGTCTGCTTGATGTACTCCTTGCCGACGGCCAGCGCGCGCTCGAACGTCTGACTGCGCTGGTCCACGCTCTTGGCGTACAGGATCTGCCGCACGCACAGAGACGTCACGTGGGCGTGTCTACGCGGTGCTCGTATCCGAAGTGGTGAAGTCAAAGAAGAAAGAAGAAGAAGAAGAAAGAAAGAAGAAGAAGAAGATGAAGAAGAAGTGAAGAAGAAGAAGAAGAAGTGATAAGGAGTGCTTATGCTGAGATAAGGGCTTTCAATGTGTCAGCAGGCACGGGATCGTGGCCGGTGTCTGGTTGACCTTTCTGAAGTCAACTAGTCTCCAAGTCCGAACTTGGCATGTGAGACTGACCTTACGTTTAGTCTGGCCTCAGTACGCGAATATGACCTCAATATGTGGGTCTGGCATCAACAGTGGGCTTGACCTGGTACTGTGACTTCATATAGCATGTGCATCTGACCTTGCGGAAGTCTGGCTTAGGCATGCGAACACGGGCTATCTGTGCAAGTCCATCCTCAGTCTGCCAGTCTGACCTTGTTGTGGGTATTTGACCTTGCCGCGGGTATTTGACCTTGCTACGGGCACTTAACCTCAGTACACGAGTCTGGCCTCACTGCAGGAGTCTGACCTCAGCATGCGAGTCTGACCTTGTTGTGGGAGTCGATGCGCGCCTGGATCTGGCCGTCCAGGATCAGCCTCATCAGCTCGTCCTCTAGCTCCGGCACGGTCGTGTTGAACGCCTCCGCCATCTTGCGCAGGTCGGCTGACGCGTACGGGCTGCGGTGCACCCACAGCGGTCAAGGGAGAGAGAGAGGCGAGCAAATTGTCAAGGACGGAGGACGCAGCGGTCAGGGGAGAGGGGGCGCGCACGGACGGTCGGGGACAGAGAATGCAGCGGTAAAGGGAGAGGGAGGCACGCACAGACAGTCAGGGACACAGGACGCAGCGATGAAGGGAGAGGGAGGAGCGGACGGACGGTCAGGAACAAAGGACACACCAATCAGGGCAGAGGGAGGTGCAGATGGATGGTTGGAGACCGCAGCTGCCAGGGACAGAGGAATCGAAAGAGGATTATCTCATAATCTCATCATCCAATACAAGATGATGGTGACAAAGAGAGATCCACTTCATCCTTCGTCACATTTGGACCAGTGGATGCTACTAAGGACGAGAGAAAGGTCAACGTACAGAGGGACGACAGATAACCAATCATATCCCGACAATGCAACACGTGCGCAGGAGAGCAAGAGCAAAACAAAACATAAACGCCTCACTCACAATAATACTGCCGCAAGGGCAACAACGCGTGAATATCAGCAGAGGATCACCACCGTCCAGCCTATACCGCAAGTCTAGTTCGCCCCAATCCCGGAGGCCGGCGGCCTCGCTGAGCACGCCCCTGTCCCAGCTACCCCGACCTTGATCACTAGATCGGCCAGCGCTGGTCCTCAACCGACTGCTGGATGCGCCTGACTCCTCTGGCCTGAAGCACTGGACGAGTCCCAGCCCTCCCGACCTGAACCATTGGACAAGTCCCCCCCCCCCCCATTCCCAGCTGAGGCGCCGGACGAGTCCCGTCTCCCCCCCCCCCTCACCGACTGTGGCGCCGGACGACCTCCTATCCCCACCCACCCCGACCGCACGAGCGACGACACCCTCGAACAAGTCACAAACTGTCCGCGAAGACATTTAGCCACGTCACCAGCCGTCCGTCCTCGGTGCGAACTGTCCGGAATCAGGCCGCATCCTCACCTGAAGTACTGGACGAGCCCCCGGTTGCGGATCATGCTGTACAGCTGGCGGACGTAGCGCGCCAGGTACATGTCGAGCAGCAGCGTGTCCCGCATCTCGTCCAGCATGCGCAGGCAGTCGGCGTACGACGACTCGTGGAACTTGTGCACCGCGTCACGCAGCTGCGGCTCCAGCTCCAGGAACAGCTTGAACGAGCTGCCGGGGGACAGCAGCGTCAGCGGGGCGCGCGGCACAGGGTCCAGGGACACAACACCGAGGAGGTCCTCTTTCTCAGAGGCCTCGCCCTTGGAGTGGACGCCGTGGTCGACGAACGTAACGCGTGTCTGACTGCCTAGATCCTCTGAAGTCGTCAGATGTCCCGCGGTAGGGACGGCAGGACTATCCACGCGGGTAGGTAGGCAGGGGCTGACGACCACGCGGGCGACGGCACCCTGCCCAAGTGGCAAACTGTTCACGAAGGCATTTAGCCGCCTCACCAGCCGTCCGTCCTAGGTTCCGCTCGGTGACGAGCTGTTCGGGCTCAGGTCCACCACCCCACTGCTGCCAGACACGGCCAGGACCCGGCCCGTGGCGAAGGGCCAGGCGGTGCCGACGCCTTCAGGCCGCGAAAGCAGCGATCCGACCACACCAACGCTCCGCCGGCCTTTGCCCTGTCCACCACGTGCGCGTCTGTACGCTTGCGTCTGGCTGGCTGCGTTGCCAGCGCGTCCGCGACGTCCACCTGCTTTACTTTTGTTTGCTGCTCTGTCTGGCATTGTCTGTTTGCTCTGCCAGTGCTCTGCAACTACGCAGTTTAGCTGTTCGAATGCCTGCACCGTCAGCCTACACTGCCTGCGTAATAAACGCTCCAGCGCGCGCTGTCCGGGTGTCTGCGTCTGTGGTATCTACATGCCGAACCTGTCCCTCTGCCAGGTACCGCGTCTCCCCACCTGCATGTCCCCTTCCGCGTCCCCCGCATGCACACGTGTCAATCCCTCGTGGTCTCCACCTCCGTGACATCACTGGGTCTGTGATGACGTCACTGGGTCTTTGGTGACATCGCTGGGTCTGTGGTGACGTCACTGGGTCTGTGGTGACATCACTGGGTCTGTGGTGACACCACTGGGTCTGTGGTGACGTCACTGGGTCTGTGGTGACGTCACTGGGACCTGTACTGACGCGCTGCCGATGACGTCCGTCTTGAGCTGGGCCCGGCTGTAGGTGGCCAGCGCGCAGAGGCCGCCGTACACGGCCACGTTCGACGGCGAGATCAGCTCGGGCAGGTCGCAGTGGTCGAAGCTGCACTGTCGGGCGGAGAGAGCAGGGACGGCGTCAGTACGGACGGGAGGGACGCTGGCGTGCACGTGATACCCGCCCTGCCATGGGTATGTACACATCATGGACGTGATGTAAGCCGTGAAGATGATAAAGGTCATGACAACACATGTCATAACAATTCATGCCATAGTGATACCTGTCATGGATGACACATGGCATGTACATGGTACATATCATGAATATCATACACATCATGGCCATGATACATGCCCTGAAAAAAATGATATGTCATGAACACGATATATATCATGAACATGATACACATCATGAGCATGGCACAAATGAACATAATATATGCACATGATGCAATCATGAAAATGACACATGTCATGAACATGCTACATGGTATGGACATAATACATGTCATGCACATGATACATGTCACGAACACGATACATGCCATACACGATACACGATACAAGATACATGTCGTGCGTGTCAACACAGACACGGGCGGCGCACGGAGCGCCACGGTGGGGACAGCGACGGGCTATCGCCAGCACGCCGGTAGATGGAAGCAGCGGTCGGTGAGCGGCGCGGACAGGAGACACGGCCAACACATCACGGGGCGTGGGCCGGGCTAGGGCAGCGGTCGGTGAGCGGCGCGGACAGGAGACACGGCCGACACATCACGGGGCGTGGGTCGGGCTAGGGCAGCGGTCGGTGAGCGGCGCGGACAGGAGACACGGCCAACACATCACGGGGCGTGGGTCGGGCTAGGGCGGTGCGCGAGGGACAGTCCAGACTGCGCAGGGGCTGACGGAAGTGCACACGGCGGAGACCGCCAGTACCACGGAACACAGTCGTCCACATAAAAACCGGCACGAATGATGTGAAGACAGAGAACATGGGGTACCTGACTTAGCGGTCGCGGCCGATGTTCGGCCTGATACCACACGCGATGTTGCAACACAACGCCACGGCAGTCTGCTCGTGATCGACTGACCTTGAGGAAGGACTTGGCGGCGCTGTCGAAGGCGCCGTGCCGCAGGTGGGCCAGTCCGGCGGCTAGGTGCAGCTTGGTCTGCACCGACTCCTTCCACGGCGCCGACTGCAGGCAGGCAGCGACGCATTAGGCACGATGTTGAAGTCATCATCGTTAACCAGGTGACCGCCTCGTCCCGCGACATCCGCGGATCAATAACATGACGGTTCTGACGCCACACGAGGCCGGTGAGGTCACGAGAGCGAAGGGAGGGAAAGCGATGAAATCGCGGGCCAGTTCTGGTTCATCCTACTGACGACAGCTGCTGGGAGAAGAGCGCCGGTTTATGAAAAAGACCACCAGGCATTGGAGTTCTCAGCCTCGGACTTCGTCCCATTGAGGAACGCTGGCCGTGTCAGAGCACACCTGGCGCTGATGGCACCGTGATGAATGTCAAGACGAAAGCAATTGGCAGTCAGCGCACGGCTGCATTTTTCACGGCCAGAGGAAGTCCTGAAACAGTACGGATGAAGACGCGATGGTATGGCTGTTTGTCGACATGTCTCGGCCGGTGGCAGTATGCGCTTGCCAACCGAAAGCTGTTCAGCGCCTCTCACTTCGTTCTCATCTCGTTCAGCGCCTCTCATGCCGTTCTAACCTTGCCCAACGCCTCTCACCTCATTCTCAACCCGTTCAGCGCCCCTCACCTCGTTCTCGTCGGGCGTCATCTCCGCTTTGAGGACGTAACTGCTGACGTGAGCCCAGTGCTGCAGGTACGCCGACACCTGGCGGCCAGACGGGGAACTTAACCGGACAGGCCCGACGTCCGGGCCCAGTTCTAAGGGCGCAGTTCTAAGGGCCCAGTTCTAAGGGCCCAGTTCTAAGGGCGCAGTTCTAAGGGCCCAGTTCTAAGGACTCAGTTCTAAGGGCCCAATTCGAAGCCTGATCGAGAGTAGTTCAATGCATATGCACACGTTCAGAAATGAGTTGAAGCCAGCCGTCGCACCTAGACAGCCGACAAAGATCGGCACAAAGGCACGGTAACATTCAATCGGGGCATATTTTGCTAAAGTAGTTTAACTAAGCCTGTTTGAACCCAGCCCAGGTGTCGCCACCTGGACGGCCCCGCCCGCTCCCCCCCCCCCCCCTCCCCTCGCACCTTGATGACGTTCAGACAGACGTGCACCATGTGTTTGCCGCTGGTGCAGTAGTCGCGCGCGCGCGAGTAGCACTTGAGCGCGTTACTCAGGTCGCCACACTCGAGGTAGTGGTCGCCCAGGTCGTCGTGGCCCCGGCGGATAGACTCCTTGATCGAGTTGGACTTGTAGTTCTTCAGGTCGTTGTCCAGTTTCTCCAGCTGCGCAGGATAACAGACCGGGGTTAGTCGCTGGGCTATCGGCAAGGAGCTGTGAGAGAACAGGCGCGAGGCCGGGCACTCCGCACGGCAGAAATGGTGGGCAGGAAGGCGCACGCCAGGAAGAAGTGGTACTAAAGAACGGGACTAAGCGTGTGCTTCTAAGCCGCAGGGAGAACTTAAGGAGATTGCTTAGACAGATGATTATAATTGAGATTGGGGCACAGCGACATCTGCCGTCATTTGACACCCAATCGTAAAACAGGAACATCCTGCTGTGCTGACACCGCACTTGCTGCACCTTTGCACCACACGGGCAGAGCAGCGTTCGTGCACCCCTCAACAGACACCTTATCTAGTCGTCACCTTCACAGTGCCACGAGGACGCCCTGCCTGAGCGGGCCGGGAGCGGATGACAACTCCGCGAGTCTTCAGACACACGCTGTCCGTCATGAGTGAGAAGGACACAGCCCACACCCCTAAGCGAACAAGCTACGAACGCCGTGTTAAGTCCCACGCCAAGCACTTCACGACCCGCCGTCCTGCCGTGACTCGGCCAGTTCCTCCGTGCTTTGTACCGGCGCCGCGCGACCAGAGGTGATCTCGCACTGACCTTGAGAGCTGCCCGCTTGGTCTTGGTCTCCACCCACTGCTGATCGAGGAGCGGCAGCGCCGCCTGGCCCGGCGCCTGGCCCGTCACGTCCGGCAGGTTCTGGCCCGACCTGGAGACACCCGCGCCCCGGCCCGGTCAGGGTGCGGTCGGGTCAAACAGGACCACCGCCTCGTATGGGTACACTCGGTACTGCAGGGCAGGTTTTATCCAGGAGCTTCGCACACCACGATCTCTTTTTTAGTGATGTACAGCTGCGCGCGGACGTGCATCCCCTTAAAATATTGCTAGAGCCTACAGAAATCATGACGTCAGCCTGGAATGGGACTTGGGCAACTCACGGTTAGTTTGTGTTATTGCCAACAGAGCACTACCCATACCCCCTCTCCCAGCACACAGATACATAGACCCCAATCGCGTTACTGAATCGCGCTATGGGTGTGTGTGGGGGGGGGGGGAGAGTCTCGCACTTGCATTCTACTATTTGCCCATCTCTCTTCCCCATCCAATAGTAATTCCATGCGCTCACAGCCTCCCAACACTACTTCCCTTGTGCTACACCTCTTCCCTAGCAGAGCCCACTTCACTACCCGGCCGTCAGGGCTGCCAGCCCGACCCTTCAGCTGCCCTCTCCTCTCCCCCCCTCCCCACCCCCACTCACGCCACGGCCTCCTGCAGCTGGCGGTGCAGCGACTGGTACAGCGCCACGTTGAACGTGTTCTGCACCAGCTGGATGGCCATCTTCAGCGCCTCCACGCGCAGCGGCGGGCACCGCTCGGCGATGAAGCTCAGGCGGTACAGTTGGCCTAAGCCTGCGGCGGGGGCAGCGTTAGGGGGCCGGGCGACGGGGGAAGGGGGGAGAGAGCCAGGCGGTGTCAAAAGGCAGAACATCGTTGGTATTGAATGTTGTTAATAAATATGTTCACACTTGATTTGATTGATTGAGCTCAATTTTCTTCCCAATTAACTATAAAGCATATGAACTGAGACACAATAAGCTTCACACAGTACAAAAAGCAATCCACAACACAGCAGCCATGCCTTGGAGGACATGACACACTGCTGGTATGAGCCAATGTTGCCTGCAGTGCTGAGCCTGTGGCACAGCATGGTGTACAACTGCACCTATTGCGCTCCTGAGATCCTTGATCAAGCTGTCCCAGGGACTGACCTCCTTTGCAGCTATTCTAAAAACACAATCCAAAAAAGTAATAGGCTGAGTCAAGTCACTCAAACGCATGGGCTAATTGGAAACTGGTGGTAGCCCCGGTCCAGCCCGTGACAGTCACGCCCCAGACCAGTTCAGAGGACTGATACCTTTATAGGAGGCAATGTAGGTCTCCAGGTCGAGGCTGGCAGTGTGGACCTCGGGCAGCGGCTCTTCAGAAGCATTTTCGTTCTCCTCGGGCGGAGCGTCGATCTGCATTGGTTCCAGCGCGTTCTGCCAGCAGACTCAGTGCTAAGGCCCATCCTGTGTCTTTAGTGACAGTTATGACTGCGTGCTCTAAGAACTGAGTGTGCTTATTGCTAATTGCATGGATCTTTGCAGACATCAAGAATACTTCAGACACTTCAAAAGCAGCTTTGTTTGATGCACACAAAAGCATTGGTGAAAACTACTATCTTGCAACCATCACATTAACAAAAAAACATGGTCATACATACTTGAGCAGCTGCATTTCCTGGGAAAATCACCTTGAATGGCATCTTGGACAGGTGTGAACCAAGCCTCCAACCTTTTAAGATTTACTTATCCTGAAATACAAGATGTGGGTTTAACACAAATAATAGTTATTTTGAGTTTGGGCATAAATATCCTACACTAAAGTGGGAGGTGAGCTCAGGATATCTAACAAACTCTGCCTAGCAAGCTAGTACTATGGGGACGGCCACCTGGCAATGCTTCAGATTAATTTCTTCTAAAATAGAGTGACAATACCAAAACCACATCAGATTAGTACAGGGTAGAGGTCTTCACCCTAGTAAAAACTAGGTTATCACATACTAGAACTGTCATATTGTCTACAGAACCATCATGACCAATTATATGTCTATGAATGGCCAACAAACAAAAAATATGCTTAATGCAATGCAAATTTATATGACAAATTTAAACATTTTGAGCAGAAGGATATCTGGAATCACAGCCCATGCCAAGCAGCATTGTCACATAAGCCCTGACCCCACCAACCAATCATGAAGTTCCAGGTCAATGGCAGAATTTGTGGGAAAGGTTCAATGACCTGTGATGCTTGCACCATCAGTCCTACCCTATGGCATCATTTCAACTTTAGTTGTCACTGCTGCTTCCAGACCCAGGTCACCCCAGTCAAGTGAAAATTGCAAGCACTTAAATAACCCCAACCCACCATGGCATGGCTGAATGAACATGAAGAAGGGCACTTTATCAACTGAGCCACCAGAATGGGCTTGACAGGAACATCAAAAATGATAGCTGATGCATTTAGCTTCAGTGATATCTTCCCTGCCTTGATCAGCAACTTGAGTACACATGCAGGGCATGCCAGAAATTAGTTTAACACATCAATGATCCCTGGGTTCTGGTGGTAGGTACCTGCTCAGGATAAGATTTACACTTGATTCCACTCTAAAATCAATTTCAATTTAGCCCTCAGAGACAGAAGAGGGAATTTATCCTGATTCTGACATTTGGAGGTACAAAATAACAATGAGCCAACCCCTCACTGGTCTCAGAATGTGTACCTCTTCCTACAGCTACAAACATATGAGTACATATGAAGATTAAAGTTTGCTTCATAAAACTTCATATGTTGAGAAGAAACTCAAATTCATCACAGCCATCATCAACATAAAATAGCCAGACATGACACTAGCAATTCACATCTGTATCATGAGCACACAAGCATCAAGCCTTCTCCACACAAATAACGTCCACTCCTAAGCTGAACGCATCACATATGCATGGGTACTCATTGAATGGGCACACATACCAAGCCTTATCAACCTTGACTAAAAATATTGTGATCAAATTAAGATGTGCAGGACGTGTGGTCGATAATCCCGTCTCACTGCTGTGAAAACACAAATATCAGTATTACCCAGTCTGGATTTTTTAGTTTCGGTTCTCAGTGCCCCACGCCCTGGCAAGTAACACAATTCTAACCTTGGGCTGGTCCTCACAACGACCCGTCCTCACAACTCGTGCAATGCTCTAACAGGGTCTCCGAGTCACCGTCGTCAGCTTCGCCTCCCCCCGAAGTTTTTTGCTGTCTTCTTTGCGTCAGTATGCCAAGCAAGTGCGAGGTGTTCTGTGTGCGCAGAGCACTAATCTACAGCCCTCTGTGGAGCCAGCTCCAACCTTCGGATCTACTGATCTGGTTCTCTCAAACCATGCACCAATCACTAACAAACATGAAATTGTTAAAAATTGTGAAAAATTGTGAAAGAGACATGACATTGTGCACTGCTCTTAGGCCGATGATCGTAGAAACAAAATCTGATTCTCCAGATCTCTTGGCCTGGTAGCCCACTTCCTACGCAGGTTGAAACCTGAGGCCAGCGATTGTCACTGGTCGGGCCCCTGTATCTGCGAAGAGGCCCCACAGTGCGTAGCAGGGGCTTCTTTGCTCGCAAGGGGCCCCGAACCGACCAAGAGAAATGTTTCGATGAGGCCCGAAGAGGGCCCGGGCGACCCATCGGACCTGACGATCAAATGTCCGGTTGGAGGGCATAAGTGCCCGCCAGGATGGCTGAAGTCACACAATAAATCGCGGCCCGTAGGGCCGTGACCTGAAATATCAGTCCAGATGGCCTCTTGCTACCGTTTGAGGGTCCCTGAGACAACGCGGGCGTCCATGCCGGCGAAAGACCACCAACACCGGGCAGTTGGCTCCCTATCGGTCTGAGTCTTGGGGCCCCATTTCCCAGGCAGGAGCAAGGCTGGGGCCACGATGTGCATTGGATTGGGTTCCTGAAACAATGTTCAGGCCCCTATGTCGGTCAGGGGTCCACAGGGCTTGCCTAGCAGGGCGTCTTATGTCGGCTAATGGCTCCGAGTCTGTCACGGGCTTTCAGGAGGCCCAAAGACGGGCCGAAGGTCGTTTCGGGACCAGAGTTAAGGGCCCCATTTGAAGACTGAAGGGCCTGAAGGACTAGCCGCAGGTTATATTAAGGACGCCCTCCCCCGCCCGTAAAGCTGTGACTTAAAATGCTAGTCAGAGGGCATCATGCTTGGCTTAGGGACCCCTAAGATAGTGTGGGCCTCTATTTCGCCCAGGATAACCAACACCGAACAGTCGGCTCCGTGTCGGTCGGACCTCAGGGGGCCCATTTCACAAGCAAGACAAGGCCGGGCCCGCTATTCACATTGCTTGGGGTGCCTGCAACAGTGCGGGGTCCCTGCATCGGCCAGAGTCCACAGTGCCAAAGCTCTTCAAACACCTGTTACTGACGGTCTCGACCGAAATCGATACACTGCTCCGCACCTCGGTCGACGAATATTCTGGATAATTGCCCCTTCTCCGGCAGCCGGCTCAAATCCGTTTCCCCGGGGGGCAAACGGTCGTTACGGTACGCATCTTAGGCATGGCAATGGGTCCTCAAAGAAACATTAAGATACCTAAGATCACCTCCCTTATGAATGTTTTACAACTCGTGAAGCGACCGTCCCTGGGTATCCTGAATCTGAATTACGCCCGAGATCTAGTCTGCCGCCAGCACCGGTCCGGTGCCGTTTGGCTACACTTCCACGCTGCTGACCTCCTGTTGACATTTCAGCCTTAGCTGCGGACGTGGCCTGGTTTGCATCGCGTGACGTGCGCCGTCGGTTAGCGGCAGCGGCGGCACAAGACGGTTTTCCAGCACGACCGCAAATAGGTAGCTCAACGAGATCGGGTCCCACCGATGACCTGGCTCCCTTAAGTGGTCCGCCATATCCGTGGCCTTTGAACCTTTGGCTGACCTGCCTCTACAGAAATGAACGGATACTGATCCATGACCGTGGAATGCCTTCTCTGGGATCCGTTCTTCTGTACCCTGGGTACCGCAATTCCAGAGTTTGTCGCACTGTGTCGCACTCCACTTGACCTCCACTACTGCCGCAGCGCTCCCGTTCTTCTGGCCAAAGCACGCGTTCGCATTTTTTTGAAAGAAAAAAACCTCCGCCACACTAACGCATTATCGCATCAAGCATCACATCACATCACATCCCATCACACAACATCCCACATCAACCGGCCGCATCGGATGAAAAGGACAAGGATAAGTTGGGCGCCGGCTAGTACCTGTCTATGCTATCTGATGCGGCTATGTCTTCATCATTGTGCACATTGGCCCTGGTCGTCTCGTCACCGCCAGATGTCACTAGCTACCGACCGTGTGTCTTCACCACCCTACATCCCCCCCCCCCCCCCCCCCTGGTGTCTCCGAGCGCATGCTCATCACTGCAGCGTGGACCATCCTCCACACTGGACCTGTGCGCTCTCGCACCTACAGCACACTCGTGCGTCCCAGCACCTCTTCCTACCAATCCGCCCCGCTGATTCATCCATACCAACCCTTCCTTGCTCCCCAATCTACCCTCCGGCGCTGCGAGACTCCTCCCCCCCCCCCCCCTCCTTCTGCTCTCTGCTCGCCATTTACCACTGCCGTATGGCTGTCCCAGAAAAGGATGCTCCGGACGGTACCAATTTGGAAATTGATCATGTTGTATCGCCCTACAGCAAAATTACAAAACATCTGGGTCTGGACTCATCCGGTGCCCGTGTCCGTGCGCCTGTCGCTGACAGCTACGCTCTTGTCTCCTGAGCAAGTGCTCCTAGCGGTTCATTTCAGCTCTCTTCTCTTTCCGAGTCCAGTCACATAAGCTTCTCTCTTTCCACCATCGGTATCCACAAATTGGCCGTACTAATACCTAAGCCACATTTCATCCCTGTTTTGTTTAGTTAACGGCAGTTTTCTTCGCCTTTCTGGTCTTGTACCTCCGCTTTACCTAGCTACTCATGCCCATTTCCTTTCGTCGCCCCATGCAAATGCCTGTCTCGTCATGCACTTACCCTTTTCCTGTGGTCCTCTTGCGTCTTAGCCCTGTGACCTGACGGTGGTTTTCTCTTTCAGTCTCCCTAGTGGTTCCCCCTCTCCCTCTAAACTTTTCATTCTAATGCCCTCCATGCTACTAGCATCCGTGTTTTCACACTCCTTCCATCAAGTCGCATTTGCGCGGTCTCCACATTTATACCGACAAACATGTGTTACCACCCCCTCCCCCCTCGAGTTTTCGTTCTACGCATTGATGGTTGTGTTGGCAATGTGCGTTTGAGGAAGGCAGACAATGGCGTTGATGAGCCTGCCGGATCAATGCCTTTAAAATGTCACGCGTAACACCATAACCCTCCCTGCGGACCAGTGTTCACGTTTACATGCAGGCCAGCCCGCGTACATTTTCACTTCGTTTATTAATTAAGCATTTATGTCTGGGACGACCCAACCGGCGCGCCATCAACATCATCGGTTTCTGCGTCTACCTCCCTATTGGTTAATGGCAGCGGCGGCAAAGCGCGGCTAAACCTTACGCTGTGAAAATGTGTGCTGGAGGCGCCGAAAGCGTTGAAAGAAGTATCATTTGATACGTTGTCGTATTTGGCTGAGGTTAGGTGCATTTGCGTATCCGTGTACTGGGCGATATGAAAAATATGGCGACAAGGCATAGTACTGCCACCACGGCGGTACGCACGCTAATGGAAGTAGCAAAAGATGGAGCAGTGCATGTTTGACCGTCTGCTCTGCGCTAATTTATTGTCGAAAATAGCCGAAGAAACTCCCATATTCTCACAAGGCAGTGACAACCGTGATGCTTGTGCGATAGAAGCCTGTCAGAGAATGATCCACAGTTGAAGATGTTTGGGCAAGCATCGGATCTGATGAAATAATGTAACTTATAACTATAGGAGTGTTTTTTTTAGTGGAAATGACTGTTCCAGACATCACAGTCCATCTAGCTGGTAAACATGCTCCGCAAGACGTCATTGCTTGATTGCGTGAGCAAACCTTGCGCCACAATGATTGAGAGCCCATTGACGGCCGTTATGTCTGGAAATCGTGCTCACGAACGCCAAATATAAACGACTCGAAAATCACATTTTTGGGCCCTGATCGCCGCATGACCAATGGGATGACAAAATTTGAATGACGTTATTATGGCGTCATGGATGCTTGGGTCACTTTGAAAAAGTTTGCACGAAATATTATGCACATCTTCGCGGGAGTGTAGCTCAAAAACTAGACCGGTTTAGGTCCTAAGAGAGACAGGGCTCTGAGCTGCATCAAACTATCTTCAAGATGGTTATCTCAGGTCGAAGCCTCCTACAAATGTGGAGCACTCCCTAATCCACGGTTTTTTATAACGCGGGCTGATACAGGGAGTGGAAGGGTCGATACGATTTCCTGGCGCTTCCAGAGGAATACAAATCGAGCTTTTCGAGCACAAAAATCGGGCACAAAAAAGCCAGTGGATTTTTTTCAACAAGATTTCGCGTTTGGTAGTAGTTTTGATGTCGTTAGCTCAATAATGAGCAGCATCATGCTAGGTCAAAACGAAAATTTTCCGGAAATCCGCACTTAGGTAAGACAATAGTAAACGCCTTTCCGCGTAGAAAAAAAACAGGATAATGAAGAGATACATGTGTTGATACTTGGGCAGCACGCCTTTACCGAAACGAAAAACAGTAGTGAATTGAAAGCTGCCTGACGATCCTGCTCGATTTCTAGGGATTTTTTTAAGTAGCGAGAGATAGCTTTTACCGGTCACCAACATTTAGGGGATTAAACAAGGTGCAATTGGTACATTAGAAACAAGGCGCTATTCCTAGCAATTACTATTGCTGCAACACAGCGGGTATTTAACTAAGAATTAGAATACGCAAAAAATACGCGTGCATGCAAACGAGTTCAAGCAAACAGGGATCATGCATCACGCTTGACTCAATCGTGCAAGCAATTTCCAGGAAACAGGCATCTCGCATCATGCATCAAATTTGCATGCAAGCAATTTCAATTAAACAGACACCGCGCATCATGCGTCAGGCATCACTCATGCATGTAAAATATTTACGTTGACGCGCATCACACATCAAAGCACTTACCACCTTCGCCCACTCTGTCATGATGAGCCCTTGCACGTTGAGGTATGGTCGCCGACCTTTTATATGAATAGGTTCAGCTATTTTCCTCTCTGGGTGGTCCTAAG